TGCACCGCGCCGTTTCAGGCCAAATTGCGTGTTTGGTTTCTCTTTTAACTTGAATAATAGTTAAAGGTGCTGTCTCCTGTATGATCGAAAGACAACAAAGTTAGAAATTACAATACTATCAGAATATTAAAGATATTGTCGCCTTTTCTCGTTTGTAATTTTTTCTTTGAATCCGATTTTTGTTATGTCTGCATTCAAAGAAATTACAAAATTTGTCGTTCCCCTTAAATTTGCCGCCATGGGCTGCGGCCCATGTGGCCACCCCCTAAATCCGGCCCTGTGAATTAGACCATCGCAAAAATGAACTAATGCCGGTGGCTATTCGATTAAGTTACCTTATTCGAAAGAGGATCACAGCCGCTAAACTCAGCATATAATGTGAGCCCTAGGAACACCATTAAGAGTTTCACGAAAGTCAATCCGACTCCAAACCACACCAAAGCTCTGGAAAAATGCAGCAATTTAAATAACCGAGCATTAAATACTTTTATTGAATCTTTGAGAAGGTATTTAAATAAATCAACCTTCTCTCCTCTATTACCTCATTTACCTTCTTTAAACTTTACTAGGTTCTATGGTACTCAAAAATTTGCTATTAGAGTCCAAACTCGCTACTTCCAAAAAAGGGCGTTTCCACAAATTTTCCTATCTGTGTCAACGACTTGGTTCAGGATTGGCTAGCTTTGAGGAGCAAATAAACACTAGACAGAATCATATGGACTACATTTTGCAATTTGGAACTATAAATTCTAGCCCGGTTTAAAAACAGCGTATGTGCCATTAGTTTCCCTATACACATAAGTGTTTTTCCAGAAGAGCCAGAATTTATGGTTCCAAATTACAAAATGCGGTCCATATGATGTAACGTCGGGATTGCAAGGTAGCATAATACAATTGGACTGTATTTTGCAATTTGGAACTATAAACTCTAGCTCATCTGAAAAAACACTTATGTGCATAGGGAAACTAATGGCACATATGTTGTTTTTAAACCGGGCCGGAAGTTATAGCTCCTATTTGGAAAATGTAGTCCAATTTATACATGTTGAATTGGCTGCCACCCAAGAGCCGAACTTGACCAGCATGGACATTATCGAAAACAAAAAGAATGATGAAAAAGATGATGAATTGATTTATGAGAAAAAGTTCCTTTGATTTTATGAGAAAAAGTTCCTTCAAATTGCCGGATAGGCAAAAGTAAAGCATGAATAGTATTTAACTCACTGTCAGTGTTTATTCTTTAATAACTAAAGCCTCACAGCTGCTAAAACCTAACCAACCCCTGCTGGTTCGCTTATCTCTTGACGAAGTCCTCGGACACTAAAATCAGGTCATCGCTCTATAAAATATTTTAATATGTTTTGCTCGGAGAAAAGCGATTTGAGAAATATTTCAGTCTCGCTACATGTGTCCACATTACTTGTAAGGAGGAAAAGATGATGTGATTATAACCAGCCGGCTACCCCGTGAAATGAATAAATAAATTATAAAATATTTCAATGGAACTTACTCAGCAGCATTTTTTTCCTTCCGTATAGAAATAAGTTTTTGGTATGACCCCGGGTTTGTGCCAAGGTAATACAACCAACTGACGCTCATTCCAACAATTGTTGTCCAGAAAGTACTCCAAGCAAACGGACTTGGTTTTATGCTTCACAAAATGTAAGCAAAAAATCAATAAAACAATGAAATGCAAATGATAAGTAGGGAAAAATCATGAAAAATAAATCTGGGTAGTAAATTAAAGCTATTTTATGGACACTATAAGATATAGAGTAAAATGGTAACAATAACTTAGAAAACCTAAACAAAATAGCAGGTACATAGATTTAATTAATCAGTTTTCCGCAGAATACAGATATTAAATGGTGAAATTCAACTCTCTTGTCAACTGCCATAATACGTTGAAAAAAAAGAAGAAAAAAATCAACTGAGCTCAAAAGGCTGTTTGAGACATACTTTATTCAATTAACTACCACTGAGGGGCTTGGAGGACAAGGCACATAAGTGCAGTTTCTGAAAGAATCAAAATATTGAAGATTTTAAGTAAAACTAGTCTTAAAATATGTTCAATGAAAAGTTCGCCTCCAAAATCAAATTTTTGACCATGAAAAAGAGTTCAAACTTTCCGTCACTAGGCAACTTGTAATTTGGAAACTTTAAACACGTGTTTCTTGAAATAGCAGTAACTGCACTTATGCGCTTTGTGCTCCAAAACTCTCCATGCTGGCGCAGTTCCAAGTTCTATCATTGAATGCAAGGATGAGGCAACCGTTAAAAGTTAGACTAAATGAGAGAACTGGGGTTTTTTTTTACGTTTAAAAAAAAAAAATTGAAAAAATCACTCGAAAATTTCCAGGCGTCCACCGCTACTTGCAATCTCAAGCACCTCATTGAAGCCGCCTACGCTATGCCATCCGATGAAAATTGCGAATGCCAAGCCAACCACCATGGACATCATGCTAAGGCACTGGCACCAAACAATGCTCTGAAATCCGCTCTGGAATCACAATTGAGAGGCTCGGAGGACAGGGCGCGTAAGTGCAGTTTTTGAGAAAATTGAGATATTAATGATTTCAAGTAAAACTACCTAGTCTTAAATGCATATTCTGTGAAAAATTTGTCCCAAATTCTAATTTTGAAGCATCGTAAAGTTAGTTTGAACTTTCTTTCCGCCATAAGGATCCATGTAATTTCGAAGCTTCAAACACGTATTTCTCGAAATGGCAAAAACTACACTTGTGCGCCTTGTCCTCCAAGCCCCTTTAATTTATCTGCATAGTTAGGGTTTGGTGATTTTTACGAGGAGGAAATAGAAAAAATAATTTCCTCACACATTGTGCGTGTGCAGGAACTGTCTAGTTCAATCAGTCAAAATCTTGATTGCCTGGTTCATCATTACGATGACCAAAGTGCAGAACCATGTACCTTCATTGTGGTGTTTCAAAACTTTCGCTTCATTTTCATTTTTTCGAAAAGGAACTAGACAATTTTTTGGCTTGAAATTAATACAGAATATTCGGCCGACGGAGAAAGAAAATCAAGGAAATTTTCAAGAAATTACGTTGAGTGCTTTCCCAAAAAAGGAATGAAGTAGAACAAGAAATCCGCAACGTCGCAAACGCGAATACGTGGTTTCGCAATTTGACCATCGGTATACCTAATTTCTTTTGTGAGAGCACGAAGCAACGTCCGTTGTAAATCTACAGTGGTCACTCATTGTAAATATCCTCACTTCACAATTTTTGTTTTCTTGCGGCTTCAATCGCAAGATCGTTCAAATGAATAATATACAGGGTGTTTCAGACCACCCGTACCAGGCCTTTTTCTCGGTTGGTTTAGGTCGTACGAAGTCGGAGACCGCGGGGTTGACTAGGGAATTGACCCCAAGGAATCCGAATTTTGTGGACCCGAAACCCCCCCACCCCCCCTTGGGGGGTAAAAGGGGGGTCACGATGCTAAGAGTCACGGTTCCCGACCGAATTGCGGATCGATCGCATCAGAATTGAAAAGCACGGAAAATTTCACGTGGAATTGACCCCTAAAAATCCACAATTGGACCATCCAAGGCCCAAAAATGAACCCCTAAAGAGGGGGACAGTACCCCCCTCCATAATTTCTCTTTGGTCTCAAAATTGACGTAAATTCTCCAGTAAAAGACGGTTTCCCAGGTAATCGACCTCGAGAAATCCAAATTTCATGGTCCCGAAGCTCCTCTAGCCCCCCTTGGGGAGTAAACGGGGGGGCCCAATTCTAAAAGTCGGGGCTCCTTTCCGAATCGCAAATGATTGCATCCAAATT